TCTATGTAAAGCTGATTTTGCGCCTTATATGTAAATTTCCGCAATCACCAACTGCTATTTAATTATAGCGCTCACTGCATTTAAGGCCTTATGATTGTTGCTCCGCCAATGCACAGCAGCCGCAATAACGAAAAAGTCAATAAATAGACTTATATGATTTGCACTTAGTATTATTTATGCACAAATCACGTCGGGGTCACCAATGTTGAGCTAATAAGCTTTTTTATTAGTTATTGCTAAATTAAAATACGAAGTTCAGGTTGCTTTAGGCTTGTTATTAGCGAGAGAGAGTACAGCAGGCGAGACGAGAATGCATTTAAAGTCGAGATCAGAATTCGTACTACCTATACAAAGGGACAGCCAGCCGAATGATGGGCCCAAGAATACAAGTACACAAACAACGAGAGAGCTAGATAGATAGAGCTACCTTTCGCGATGCAATTAATATAAGAGATCGAACTAAGACGTTAGTTGGCTGCTGCGGCTGCGTGACCCGACATACAGTTTAAGGTTTTTAAAAGGCGGGAGTAGTAAATCTTAAATCCCAACCCTACACAAGCTTTCTCAAAAAGTTCTGCGAATTCCCGCAAGCAACGACTCATCGATAACGATAAAAGTAGCGCCATTGGGAACAATCCAAATAAAATTTCAGTACAAAACTAACATCAAAATAAGAAAATTTTAATTTCCAAACCTGCTACTTCAAAATTATGTTACAGTTTTTATTTATAGGTCACGTTGGGGACTGAATCCTATGAATCACACTGCCTTAGATGTTTCAAATCATTTAAATCTTAATTTGAAAATGTTTCGAATCATTTGAATCTTACTTTGAAAATGTTTCTAAACATAAAATGTCTCGAAAACTGTTAGTTCATGCAGCGCTCTATTGCACTGAGCAAGTTACCGAAATTAGCTAAAAACCATTTAAGTTTCTCTCGCTTAGCTCGCTTATAACGGGTTTAAGATTTTAATACCAGTTTTATTTATAATAACTTTTAAGGCGATTGAATATTCAAACTCATGTCTTCAGCAATTATGTAGGCATAAACTTACCGAAATTAGCTAAAAACCATTTGCCCGTGGAACTAAAAATCGAAAACACCCTTTCAATGAAGTGCTCTTATAGCATTACAAATAGAAAAACAAGAAAGGAAGCTAACTTCGGCAAGCCGAAGCTTGTATACCCTTGCAGTTATATTTATTAAATTTAACAAGGAAGAACGCTATAGTCGAGTACCTCGACTATCAGATACCCATTACTCAGCTAAATAGATAAATAATACCACCTACCGGCGGTATACAGATTTAAGCGTTATGGGCGTTAGAGTGGGCGTGGAAAATTTTTTTTGGACCAATGGATAGGTACTGACGAGACCAATACATTTCAGTTAAATTTGTTTATCTAGCATGAAAATTGTGGGCCTCACAGGCTTTTGCCGTTTGTGGGCGGTAAATTGGGCGTGGCAAACTTTATTTTTGATCAATCGATAGGTATTGATGAGAACAATACAATCAGAAAACACCGAAGCTATAATTTGTTTCATATTATTTTCCCACCAATTTTCGGATCGTTCCAATGTAATATAGTCGTCCGATTTTGATAAAATTTAACTCGAAATTCAAAACTAATTAAAAAACGATATTTCCAAGCTTAGGAGGTTATATAAAAAACACCAAAGATATTGGGAAAGTTTCAGCCCGATAGCTTTAAAACTGAGAGACTAGTTTGCGTAGAAACGGACAGACAGACGGACATGGCTAGATCGACTCGTCTAGTGATGCTGATCAAGAATATATATACTTTATGGGGTCGGAAACGTCTCCTTCACTGTGTTGCAAACTTCTGGCTGAAATCAATATACCCTCTGCAAGGGTACCGAAATATTACGGTATTTTATATTTAGACGGCCGTACTTCGCGGAATACAGCAACATATACGAGGGTGGTCCGATAAGTACTGAACCTCCAAAAGAAAAACGAAAATTTTGGAAAAGTGTCGATGTATTTCTCAGCATAATCTGCTTTTAGCTCGATACACTTGACCCCGCGATGCTCGAACTTTTTAACCCGTCTGAAAAATACGTTTTCTCGAGGTTTGCAAAATAGGCCTCTGTAGCGGCGACGACCTCCTCATTCGACGCCAATTTCTGTCCAGCGAGTGACATTTTCGATGTAGTCGATGTAGATCACACCTTGTGAATCCCAAAAAACGGCCTTTCCGGCCGATGGGACAGACTTCGCCTTCTTCGGAGCAGGTTCGCCGGGTGAAGTCCACTGTTTCGACTGTTCCTTGGTCTCTGGTGTGTACCAGTGGATCCATGTTTCGTCGACGGTCACGAAACGACGCAGAAACTCCTTCGGATTGCGCTTAAACAGCGACAAACACAGCTCTGAAGTGGTCTCACGGTTGCGTTTGTTGTCCGGAGTGAGCAAACGCGGCACCCATCGCGCAGACAGTTTTCTGATGCCCAAAATTTCATGTAGGACATGACCCACGCGGTCTTTTGACATGCTTACTGTCTCAGCTATCTCGCGTATCTTCAATCGGCGGTCTGCCAATACGAGATCGTGGATTTTTGTCACGTTATTCTCCGTGGTAGTCGTTTTCGGGGCACCTGGGCGTGGCTCATCAAAAACCGACGTGCGACCACGTTGAAACTCGTTAAACCAATTTTTGACGGCCGCCATCGAAGGAGAAGAGTCACCGTACACAACATCCAAGCGCTCTTTGATTTCGCTGCGCGATTTCCCTTCCAAAAACGAGAATCGAATCACAGACCGATATTGCTCTTTCTCCATTTTTCTAAAATCCACGGACACGTCCGATTCCACACGCAGTCAAAACAAAACTACGAGTCCGATTTCTGAAATTTCGACAGTAGCCGTCTACGAGACGATAGTGACGCCATCGGACGATGAGGCTAAGTACTTATCGGACTGCCCTCGTGCAAGCTAACCAACTATTTTTCTTTATTATTAAATTGCACGCGAGTTACAGTTTCTACATTGGTGTGGTATTTTTTCAAAAAGACAATTTGATTTTAGACAAAAGAAAACGCTGTAGTCGATGGCCTTGACTATTAGATATCCTTTACCCAGCTCAAGGCTGTGCGAGAGGGATGGAGACATGCTAGGAGCAAGTCTGTTTTTTCATTAACACACCTAGCCCATAGCGCCACCTAGCCTTTAGCTGATTTGCTGCATGTGGTGTGCGATCTTGATTGAATTTGCAAAATATTGATTATTATTTGATTATAGCTTTTTATTGACTGGTCCGAATTCAATCATATTTGGTATGCATTATTGATAATAGTATAGATAACAATGGGCGCCAGACGGGTTTTAGTGCTATGGTCGTTTGTGGGAGTTTCTCCCTGCTGCAAGAATCAAAGAATCTGCATGCCAAGTCCCAATGTTGTAGTTTTTATAGTTTCTGATATCTCAACGTTCATACTGACAGACGTTCAGAACGAGCAAAGGGTTTAAAGTGTCCGAACACTTTGTTTTCTTTCCTCGCTTATATGCTCGATCTGAGCTACTTAGAGTTCGAGTTCAAATTTAAAATTTTCACAGCATGTTTTCCAAATAATAAACTGTTTTTCAAAGAAAAAAAAATTGTTTTTAAAAAATGTCGATCTACATGTAATAACCACTTTAAAGACATGGCCATTATAAATATAAATGGTATTTAAAATTTTAGATCGCCCTAATAGGTAAACGCGAGCTAAGCCAGAGAAACCCAAATGGGTTCTAGCTAGTTTCGATGAGTACTTTCCGCACGTAAAGTTCAAAATGCGGTTGCATTTTTTTGTGTTGCACTGTGTTATATAAAACTACATGTTGTCAAATGTAAAAAAAAAGTCATGGCAAGCATTCTATGTGTAGCCATGTTTGGTTTTTAATGATACTATATAGAAGTAGTTTTAAAATTGTGTGATATCATTGCTATACAAATTTCAATGAAACAACCTCGTAATAACACTAAAAAAAAAACGAAATTACAGCGAACAAAGGGCAATAGGTTCCAAAAAAAATAAAAAGTGTTTCTTTTGTAGAAGCTGATCAGAAAAATCAGGGTTATTCAACTTTAACCTCAAATCCCAAAGACATGGAAGATGGTTTTGGTTGGGGACAAAATTAGTGTTAAAGTGTGCTTCAATTAAGGGAACGTTCTCTTTGTTTTGGATCAAAAAATCGATTTTTTTTTTGCAAAAATTGAAAGCCACATATCCGTAGAGTATGTGTGTGAAAGGATTTTTCGATACGATGAATAGTTTGTGAATGAGAGCGTCTCGAATACACCTGCGTCACGCGCGCTGCGTACTTTTAAAAAACTTTAAACGCGTTTTTCTCGAAACCATGTTTTCCAAAAAAATTCCGCGTCCACAGCTTCATCCTGTGAACCGATTGTCTTCATGTAAAATTTTTATGAAAGTATATGCTGTTTTATTGGGCACTAAGCTACTCCGGAAATAAACAATAATTTATTTATAATTTTTCAACGTGGTTTAACTGAAAAAAATGTACGAAAATTGAACTTTAAAATTCGAACATTCATTACGCGGTCAATTTATGGCCGCAATTTGATGCCATTAGGTTAGTGCCTTACAAAAGTATATTAACTTTAACTAATGATAACAATTTTCTATTTGAGTTGACTACAAGAGGCTGCAGGCTCGGAATTTTTGGACGATGTTTGCCGCGCGGAGGCAGACGAAAGCCGCCATTTTGCAGCCGCCATTTTGAATTTCACCATCAAATAAATTTTAAAAAAATCTTGAATAATAAACGAATTCAAAAAGCAAAACCCGAAGTTCGTACGCCTTTTCATTATCCCACAAAAAATTGACGAACTTTGCCTTCATTTCGACCAAAACAAAGAGAACGTTCCCTTAAGGAAAATTACAGAAAACTTCGATACCTGCATGTAACTAAAAAAAAGTACATAAATATTATGGGCGAGTGAAAATGGTTCGTGAAAATTCCAAAAGCTTATATTTTGGGTTCCTGTGTTATATAACTGTATATATATTTATTTCAATTTTGTAAGACTTGATGGGAGAATTCCACTGTAACTTTATAGTCCCACTAAATGGTATCGCACTTATCTTATGCATTGGAAAAAATGAATCTACTTAAAATATCTTGGACATCGAATTGCGTTGGCATCGAAATGCGGATAGTACCAGCAAATGTCCAGGTCGTTAACAAAATTACATGATCCTAGTATCTGGCACGCTTGGTTTCTTAAGAATACATACACTGCTAAAAATGATATATTACACATTTCGAAACAAAGATGGTCAGCGCTGTCGGGAGAATTCTACTGCAGCATAAGAGCATTTAAGTTACGTTGCAGTATTGTATCCTTTACAGAATTAAACACTACATTAGTATTGCGCGTATCTATGGCGGTGGTAAAATGATGGTATATCCTAGTTATGCTGCTACTGCGATGAACGCTCATAAACATTTGTAAAATGAAGTTTTGAACATCCAAAATTGAGTGTGGGTTCCCATTGAACTGTGGATAGTACCAGCGAATGTCAGTCTCAGGATCACAAACTTTCTGTTCCAGTAAGTCTGTTTTGTTCAAAAATAAAATAATTGATATTCCTTTGAATGTGTTGTTATTGACAATAGTATCGAATATATTCTTTGATTCTTCCAGACGATTTGTTTTTCTACAACGATATTTTTTAGCTTTATCCGATGTCTGTTATTTGTAAATAATTTACCTGTCTTCCGCAAGCACTTGATCGAACTCGGAACTAGATACGAGAAATATAATGGACGTTACGGAACTGTCAAAACATCTAGTCCATTTTTGACGCTGAGTCCGTTGTCCACCCACATCGACGAAGACAAATGGAATGTTCTAGTGGTATCGGAATTTTGAGTATGAATATTATTGTTTCATATAATTTCCTTACCTGTACTTTGACGCAAAACTCATAAACCCCTTTGGTAGCCTTCCGGCAATGTAATATGTCTTTATGCGTTGGTACATAATCCGGTGCAGCTAGCCGCTCTATTTCGTCCAGAAAATAGCTAACAGAATCGCTCTGAAAAACATAATGGTACAACTTTTGAACAACACATTACTTTCCACTTACAATTTGAAATTCACGCCTCCTCTCAAAAGCTCTTCTAATTCCGCGATCTTGCCACAGGCGTTGAATTTGCGGCGCATATTCTATAAACCTGGGTGACTCTAATGCATTACAATCCATCAATTTGGCATTGTTAGCATCCTGTTCTCGGCCGTCGCTTCCCCAGGCAATTTCCAGCTTTTCTCGAGCGTCCAGCAGTACTTGCATTCCTTAAATGTTTGTTTGTTAGGCCAAAATAATTTTTGGTCCTTAAAAATGACCACGTACCTCTTATAACATTTTGGTATATCACATTTTGGTATTCGCGTAGCAGTTGATAATCAAAATTAACTCCGTGAATTATACGCATTTGTTTGAGGAAAGTTGACTTGCCAGATTCCCCCGCGCCTAGGAGCAGCAGTTTTACCTAGAACCGAATTTAGTAGTATAAGGATTGTAATCTTTAACAGCTTGGCGTAATTTTAGTCTGATTAACTAAATTCAATCAGCAACATCATCAAGGCTTCGTAAAAAACTTTTGTACACATAAATTATATTATATTTATTTAAAAAATATATACCCTTGTATAATGAATTTTACAGTAGTTTGCAACGTAGTGAAAGTGACGTTTCCGAGTATATGAGTGATTCTTTGTAAAACGTATCGAGATTTTTTTATGGTCTCAAAAGGGTTTCATAGTTTTAACACGATATTATACCATTTATTTAGGATTTATAAAAAAAAATCAAATAAATTTATTTGACAGAGCAAAGATATGGCGATGACTTTTTTGTTAAGTTTATGTATAGCTTCAAATTTCATGGAGTAAGAAAAAGTTTTGGCAACCTTTCAGATAAAAAAAATTGCATTACAGTTTTAAAGTAACTTATAGTCCAAACTTAAAAAAAAATTCAATTGCGCTTTTCTGCAAATCGGCAATTTTAATTTTTATAAAAAATTAGTATAATGTTTTATACATAACCTTGTTGAACAGTTTATATTAAATAAAAGTCAAAGCAGTCTTTTCTTGTTTTAATTTTTAAATTATGTTGTAACGAACTGTTTTCGACCGTTCTACGCACTACGCGTAGTTCTAGTTTTATTCGTAGCATCCGGCTATACCTTTTTGGAATGCTCTTTTCACGCGCTAGCACGTGTTTGATTGATTGTTGTTTCTTTTTAGTGAGTGAGTTAAAGCTGCGCAAATATGGAGCAATTATTTTGGAGAAAATACGGCATATTTTACAGAACAACAACGATAAAAGCAACAAGCCGACAATAAAATTTGTGCAGTTTATGGACTCGATACAGTTTCCATTTCACCGCACAACGATGGTTTCAACGTTTTTGTTCTGGTATATGGGTGGTCGAAGATGCGCCACGCTCCGCAAGGCCTGTCGGCGAAAACTGCGATAAAATCGCTGAATTGGTCGAAAGAGACCGGCATAGTAGCAGTCATACCATCGGTCAAGGGCTGGGCATAAGCCATCAAACCGTTATAAACCATTTGAAGAAGGTTGGAGTCACTAAGAAGCTCGAACACGAATTGACGCAAAAAAACGTCTTTGACCGTATCGACGCAAGCGAATCGCTTCTAAATCGCAACAAAATCGACCCGTTTTTGAAGCGTATGGTGACAGGCGATGAAAAGTGGGTCACTTACGACAACGTAAGGCGCAAACGGTCGTGATCGAAAGGCGGTGATGCGTCCCGGACGGCCAAGCCTGGATTGACGCCAGGAAAGTTATTCTGTGTGTTTGGTGGGATTGGCAGGAAATCATCCACTATGAGCTGCTCCCCTATGGCCAAACTCTCAATTCGGGCCTGTACTGCCAACCACTGGACCGCTTTAAGGCAGCAGAATGAATTGATCACAGATGGAACAGAGGCCGAATTGTCTTCCATCAGGACAACGCCAGGCCACACACATCTTTGGTGACGCGCCAGAAGCTCCGGGAGCTCGGATGGGAGATTCTTTTGCATCCACCGTATAGTTCGGATCTCGCACCAAGTGATTACCACCTGTTTCTGTCCATGGCGAACGAGCTTGGTAGTCTGAAGTTGGCCACAAGGGAGGCCTGTGAAAATTGGTTCTCCTCGTTGAGAACGCATCATTGAACAAAACGGCGCATATTTGACTTAAATCGCATTGTTGTAACCTATTTTATGAACAATTGAAAGTTCAATAAAAATACCGCAGGACTTTATTGACAACCTAATATATTTTTAATCAGAATCACTAGCCAAATCCGTCTGACCGTCTGTCCGTTTCTAAGCAAACTAGTGTCTCAGTTTTAAAGCTACCAGTATGAAACCTTCACAAGTTTTATTTATATTGTAATAAAACCTTGAAACCCAAAAGTCTTTTTTAATTGCAGGTATTATATAAGTTGAAACCAAATTATTTTAATCCAAAAGGATGCACGTGTGTATGGTGTAACTTAAATTGATTTTTTCTTTTCAATTATTCTCACAGTTGGTATTAAAGTTATTAATTTTTCCTTAAAATACCCATTTTGTGTGGGTTGGGAAACTTTGAGCGTGTAAGTTGGCACAGCCGTTTTCCATACAAAACTGCATTAGCCTATAGAAGACGCTTTTGGCAAAGTAGATTTCTTTGAGTTGAGGGGAGTTGTGAGTCTTTAGTTATTAGTTAGTTATTTAAGTTATTATCGTAATTTGGTCAAAATACTTTCAAAAAGGACGGGATACAAGTTAAAACTAAGATATTGATTGAATTATCAAAAACAAATATTTTTAAAAGTATGAACTACTCTTGAGGTAAGAATTATTGTGTCCCAACTTATAACTTTCCATTTCCGGCACTCAAAATAATGTTCTGTTTCCCCAAAAGGAATTTTGTTTGGTTTATTTACTGTTAAGTTTCAGAAGCAAATGACAAAATGGATGGACAAAAAGAAAGTGTTCCAACTCAACGTTTATGATTCAATCGACTAAGACTGCTCAAAGGTGACCATACAGAATTAGTCCAAGCGAAAGGGAGTTAGTACGTGCTAAAATTAAAGAATTAACCGAGTATAAAGTTTTCAGACCTAGTTGATCACCATTTGCTAATCCTACAGCAAGACTTTGTGTTGATTATAGAGAAATAAATAAAAATACAGTAGCTGAGAAGTTTCCATTATCGTTGATATCAGATCAAATAGCCCAAAATTTCACTTCTCTTGACATGGTTAGCGGGTATTACCATATTTTAATGCACCCTGAATCAATGGAATATATTGCTTTTGTTAGTCCTGATGGGCGTTACGAATTTCTTTCGATGCCCTTTGGATTAAAGAACGCACCCTCAGTGTTTCAAAGAGCTGTATTGAAAGCACTTGGCAGTCTTGCTCATTCGTTTGTAATCGGTTATATAGACGGTACATTAAAAGTGTAGTCCTCTAGAACTTTTGATATATATAGTTGGTACATTAAAAGTGTAGTCCTCTAGAACTTTTGATTGGTAAAGATGCGCGTCCAATGGGATTGATGTCCAAATTCCAGAAGAGCTTGATGTAAATTATAAAGAACAAAGTCTGTTGAAACAGAAGAGTGTTTGTGAAGTCATGTGACTGCCGATGGACGAGGCTTTCTTTAGAAATGTGTGAAGCCAAGTGTTGGGCGATGGACGAGCAATAAGGTTGATGCATTCGTGGGCGATGGACAATTTAATTTGTTTGAAGATGTGTGAAGCCAATGTGTTTGGCGATGGATTTAAAAGTTGGCTAATAAAAGTCTAGTTATGTATCTTGAATTACGAATTGATGATTTGAACTCATTAATGTATAAGTTTAAAATGTTTAAATGATCTCTTGCTGGGAAATGTAAATGAAAGAAATGGTTTATAAGAGTTAAAATTACCTACACGTTAAAAATAGCAGTAAAGTTATGTTATGGAATATTACATGAATTTGAGATTATGTGGCTAAGTTTTTTTTTAAGTATTCAATAAAATTATAAAGTTGGAATGAAACTGAGATGTTGATTGTAGACACAAGGAAGTGTATATGTCAACATGGCCGTGTCGGAGAGGAAGTAATGCAGCATCTCGATAGGCATGAGACTTTAAGGTGTGACCATAAGTTGGGCTGGTAGATACTAGTTCTGGTAGAATGGGGACTCAGTTTGCGAACTGAGGCTGTGTGTGGCTTCGTACTCATTGTTAGATCTGGACTATCTCTTTTCCTTCTGGTTTTTACCGTGGCGTGAGATGGTCACGCGTGTGTATCTAAGAGACAATAATGTGCAACAAAGGCAACGAAGAATCGCTGCATCCGCCAGTACGGAACACCAGATACCAAACGATTAATCGACCAGCAATGACGACCTGCATGAAGATGACGTTAATTCTCCAACATATTTATTGATAAAACATTAAGTTTTAAAGTCAAACCAATCCGTTGACTTTCCTCTAGACGCCGAAGCAATCACTTTAAAGGTATTTGCGATTACATCCTATTTATTCGATAATTCAACTTCGTACCATTTAATAAAAATTGGTCTTATCGTTTTAAATTTCAAATTGAAAAATAATTGAAACTCAGGCAGCTTTAGTTGTTTTGACCTAATTATAATTGTCATTTTGAAATCTTTATGATTTTCAAACGTGACTGCTTAGGATAATATCTTATATGTCAGAAGTTGGGAAACCTTAAGGAAAAAGAATGGAAAACAAGAAAGTACACTATAGCATTATATTATATTCAATATTATATTCTCTTTACTGAGGAAGTCCGAGAGAGATGGAGATATGTATACAGAAAATCTGACTGTTCCCAAGAGTTTACACATTATTTGCTTATACCATTTTAATAAATGTTCAGATTTAAACCATTTTGCCTTATAGATTTGGCATTGATAATCAGAACAAAATCACATTTACAATTTTACATAACATAAAAACAAGAAAGGAGCTGAAGTTTGTTTTCCCTTGCAGCTATAATTATAAAATTTAAAAATACAAAAATAAATTCCCAATAGTATAAAATAATGTGTTAAAAAACACCGAAGCTATAATTTGTTCCATATTATTTTCCCACCAATTTTCTCATCGTTTCTATGGCAGTATATGATATAGTCGTCCGATTTTGATAAAATTTAATTCAAAATTCAAAACTAATTAAACAATGTTATTTCCAAGCTTAGAAGGTTATATGATAAAAAATTCCAAAGATATCATTAAAAACAATTTTTTTCCGATTATTTCTATGGGAGCTATAAGATATAGTTGTCCGATCCGGCTGGTTCCGGCTTATATACTACCTGCAAAAAATATAAGACTTTTGGAAAAGTTTCAGCCCGATAGCTTTAAAACTGAGAGACTAGTTTGCGTAGAAACGGACGGACAGACGGACATGGCTAGATCGACTCGTCTAGTCATGCTGATCAGGAATATATATACTTTATGGGGTCGAAAACGTCTC